TCATTGTTGTGCATGGGGTTGCTATGTGTTGGAACTGACTCTATGGCACCTAACAATAAGAACATCGTTTGTAATAGGTACATACAGTGTGGCAATGCATAATATACCAATGTTATCATTCTCAGATGTTCACTCGCAGATGTTCAGTTTTATGATTTACTGTTGGCAAACACTGCTGTCTATCAGGCTGTGGCCTGACTGACAGTGAAGTCCATGTCAATGGCAGGAGTCCTAATGGATAGAAAGTTGGGCAATGTTCAACTCAACGACATATGACAATTGAACTGCGCAGGTGCCTGACAGCCATTATGACTCCAACTTCACTGTTATGACACTGATGCTGATTTCATTGTAGGCCAGGACTGTACATGATCTTAGCGTTTTGTACCTTAAGAAGCATCCATTGTTAATTTGAAGCTGAGTTGTTCAGGTTTCTCTGATTGTAACACCTGCACTGCTTATACCCCCAACAATATGTCTAACAAAAGAATTCATGCCACTGAAAGTTGTAATCTGAAAAAGAAGATGAGGAAGGCTGTAGACATGGATATAGAGATGAAGATCATTAAGGCCCATAATAGTGGAAAGAAAGTTGACGAGATAGCACATGAGGAAGGACTGTCAAATTCTACTGTTCTGACAATCATTAAATGTAAGAATAGTATTTGGGAGGCAGTTAAAGGAGCGTTTGCCATTAAATCAAAAGTTTTAACAAAGAAGCACAAAGACCAGTCCACGAGATGGAGAAGCTGTTGATGATTTGGTTAGAAGACCAAATCCAGAAAAGGATTCCTAGGAGTTTACTGATGATTCAATCGGAAGTATGCAATCTTTTTAAAAACCTGCAGAACAGCAAGGAGAAGACTGCCATGAGTACTTTAATGCCAACAATGGCTTGTTTCACAGCTTCCAATGCAGATTTGGCTTACGTAACGTGCATACAACTGGAGAAGCAGGAAGCGCCCATTTTGAAGCTGCTGAAAAATTCAAAGATGAGCTGGGCAAGATGGAAGAGGAAGGAGAGAAGTTGTCAAAAGTTTACAGTTAAAGGATTAGCTGGAGTTTTTTCTAAACTAAATCAGAGGCTTCAGTTGCTTGAAAACACAGACCCAAATGCTGATCCCTTTAAAGTCCATAGCCAGATTTGGGAAGCAGTGAGATGTTATCATGAAATGTATGAAGAAAAAAAAAGAGCAATACAGACAACTCTCACTAATTTTCTGACTAGAAATGCCATCCACTTTCCCAGGGATAATCCAGATGATCCAGAACTTTTCACAAGTGGAGTTATTACCGCAACTGACAAAATGCCAGTGTCGTCCAGTTCTTCATTGTCAGATTAAATTTTTGTGATTTGTGTATGTTTTTATGTATGTATTAAAATATATCTGTGAGTTTATATGTAATGCTTCCAACCCTCAAAGACAAATTAGATAGGATTTGTAAAGATACTGGTAATAAAAGGTAATAATAATGAAATCTAAAAGAAAAACGAGGTGTTTGACGTAATGTCAGAATCGATCTATGACGGAGTCATTGGAACGGGACCCCATCTTAAGTCAGGGACTGCCTGTCTTATTTTCTCTATGTGATTAATTGAAGTCAGTGATGACTAAAACAACATATATTTATTTCTTTGTGCTTTCAAACTGAAAGGATCTGTCTCTGGACTGACTCTTACATTTTACAATAAATATGTATTTTAAAAATATTTTATGAGGATATATTTTTATAATAATAGTAGCTAAAGGATATTAAGGAAGAAAACCTAAAATGAGAAGCCTACTTATAGCAGTTTTACTTAAAGAATATGGGATTTGAAATCACTGAAATAGTGTTAAAGTACAAGCACATTGCCAGTCTCTCTTTAGAATTGCTTACCCTTTCTTTGGAGCTTGGCTGCTAACCAAAAGGTCAGCAGTTCAAATCCACCAGCTGCTCATTGGAAACCCTATGGGGCTGTTCTACTCTGTCCTGTAGGGTCACTGTGAGTCGGAATTGACTCGATGGCAACGGGTACCCTTTCTTTATCTTTATTTTGCAGATCAGAAAACTGAAGTAAAGCAAAGCACCTCATAGAGTTGAGAATTACATGTGAGAATGTACATGTAGCCTCTGGCCCATAATAGATGCTCATATCAAAGTTAATGTTCATAGTCGTGTTATTTTTCTTGAGATATGAACTTAAATATTATTTTTAGCTTGAAACATAAAAGAGATACCAAAAGCTAAAATAGTTATTTTAAATTCTATCAAATATAAGTAGGTGTTCACTTCAGATCAATTTGAGAACTTAAGGTACCGGACTATGATGATAGCTCAGATTTCACTTTCTTGCCCTATTTGTGCATAGCCTGGGATAGAAAGACAAATATTCCTACATTTTGTTCATTTTCCAAAATATATTTCAAATTAGAGTGAATTGATCATTATTGTTTTTTGGGGCCGTCAAGTCGGTTCTGACTCACAGCGACCCTATGTACAACAGAACGAAATGCTGTCTGGTCCTGCACCATCCTCACAATCTATGTTATGCTTGAGTCTGTTGTTGCAGCCACTGTGTCAGTCCATCTTGTTGAGGGTCTTCCTCTTTTTTGTTGACCCTTTACTTTACCATGATGTCCTCCTTGTCCAAGGACTGGTCCCTCCTCATAACATCTCCAAAGTACGTGAGACGAAGTTTCACCACCCCTGTTTGTAAGGAGCTTTCTGGCTGTACTTCTTCCGAGACAGACATGCTCATTCTTCTGGCAGTCTGTGGTATATTCAGTATTCTTTGCCAATGCCGTAATTCAGAGGTATCAGTTCTTCTTCAGTCCTCCTTGTTCATTGTCCAGCTTTCACATGTATATGAGGTGATTGAAAATACCATGGCTTTGAGACCTTCGTCCTCAAAGTGACATCTTTGCTTTTCAACGCTTTAAAGAGGTCTTTTCCAGCAGATTTGCCCAGTGCAACACATTGTTTTGATTTCTTGACTGCTGCTTCCCTGGATGTTGATTATGGATCCAAGTAAAATGAAATGCTTGACAACTTCAGTATTTACTCTATCATGATGTTGCTTATTGGTCCCATTGTGAGGATTTTTGTTTTCTTTTTGTTGAGATGTAATCCATACTTAAGTCTGCCGTCTTTGATTTTCATCAGTAAGTACTTCAAATCCTTTTCATTTTCAGCAAGCAATATTGTGTCATCTGCATATCACAGGTTTTTAATGAGCCTTCCTCCAATCCTGATACCACATTCTTCTTCACATAGTTCAGCTTGCCAGATTATTTTCTCAGCATGTAGATTGAATAAGTATGGTGAAAGGATACAACCCTGATGTATCTTTCCTGATTTTAAACCATGCAGTATCCCCTTGTCCTGTTCAAATGACTGCCTCTTGGTCTGTTTACAGGTTCTGCATGAGCACAATTAAGTGTTCTGGAATTCCCATTCTTTGCAGTGTTTTCTATAATATGTTATGATCCACACAGTTGAATACCTTTGCATAGTCAGTAAAACACAGGTACCCATAAACACTGTACCCATAAAGAGTCATTAAAAATTTATTGGAACTTAAGAGCTTCATTTAAAAATTCCTCCCCACAGCATGTTTACTTTACATGTGACTTTGATGTTCATCTTGTTTTTTCGCCACAGAAAATTAGGTAATGAACCTTGGTTAGCTTCAAATGTCTCAGTATTAAATTGTTTTTAATAAGTGTAGTTATTTTTCTTAACTGAAAACAGGAATAGTTTCTATAATTTGAGGTTTATGTACTTTTTTTATTACCAAGTTTGGTAAAAATGTACTTAAAACTTACATTTTCTATCTAAAATGTGTTAAGTATACGTAGTCCTACCAGCAGGTAACTGGAGCCCTGGTGGTGTAGTGGTTAAGAGCTTGGCTGCTAACCAAAAAGTTGGTAGTTCAACTCCACCAGCCGCTCCGTGGAAACCCTATGGGGCAGTTCTACTCTGAGAGATACTGTAGGGAGGCACCATGCATGTAAATGCAGTTTTTCTTAGGCATTTTTTAGATCATTTACTTTGAATTATATAATACTTTGCTCCCAAATTCTTATTTGGCATCAGAATTGTTAATTGCTGCTTAGAATGGGTAATAAACTGTATGGTTAGCTACAGTGATCATTGAGAGGTCACAAAAGACTAATAGAAGATAATATTTAGACTGTCTTAGTGAATAATCAGTTTCTCATGAGAGATTGGCTAGGGATTTTTGGTTTTAGAGTCAGATAAACAGATTAATTACATTAGCCTGCCTCTTATGTTATTTATTCAGCAAGTGATTTTGTCCTTACTATGTGTCAGGTACTGTTTTAATTGCTTTACATTTATTTTCTCACATAATTATCATAACAATCTAATGAGGGAGGTACTATCATCATTACTGTTTTACAAATTAAGAAAATTAAGCCAGAGTAGTTAAATAACTTGTCTGTAGCTCACACACCTGGTAAGTAGTAGATTCGTGGATTAGACCCAGGCAGTCTGACTGTAGCGCTTGTGCTCTCAACATCTACACTGTATGCTGCCTGTCAACCAATTCATCCCTCAACCAACCCCCTTTATTCTCCTGTTACATGTTGCAGCCAGAGCAGGCAAATTAAGACCAATATTTAAAGGGGCCAGAAGTTCCAAAGTGTGTATGTATTATAGCATAGCAATAGTCTACTTTTAAATGATGTTGGAGAGGTCTGATTTGGGCAGGCACTCCATCCTGGAACTCTTAAGAAGTGGTTTTGATGTACCTGAGATGTCTTAATAAGGGCTTTCCAATGAGCTAATAGTATACTTCCAAGTTCCCCAGTTTGTTTAATATGCATCCTTAGTCTGCCCTTGTTCTCACATTAAATACAGAAGTCTTAGGAGCCCTGGTGGCACAGTGGTTAAGAGCTATGGCTGCTAACCAAAAGGTCGGCAGTTCATATCCACCAGCCACTCTTTGGAAACCACATGAGGCAGTTCTACTCTGTCCTGTTGGGTCGGAATCATCTTGACAGCAGTAGGTTAACAGGTTAGGGGAGGGAGGTTATCAAGAAAAGAAAGTTCTCTCCCTCCCACCAAACAGCTCCACCTTTTAAAATATACTAAAAATAATTTTATAGCCAAATCAAGTTATAATACATTCTTACATGTATAAATTAACAAAATGAATTTTGATTTATAAAGGGTGTTCACAAGGGTAATATAATACTCTGTCACTTTCTTTACCAAGTAGTCTACATTTCAGTAACTTTGTTATTATTTTGAGATACATCATTATCAAAAAAAAAAGCATAGAAGTATAGGTATACATACTAGATTGTGAATGTCCTTCTCAAAGTATCCAGTGAACTCCTTCCATGGGACACATTCAAGTTTCTTGGTGCTCTCAGTTCACTAGAGGATGGTTTTACCCACATATAGGGCTAGGGAAGTCTTCTCAGCCAGGTCCTGGCAGTATCTAAGATAGCAATACTTTTCTCTGATGCTAGTGATGGTGACCCATTTATGTTCATTATACTGACACTTTGAGCATGGATTTGGAATCTGGAAGACTTGGTTTGAATCCCAGCTCTATCATTTTCTAGGGGTGTGACCTTAAGCAAATTACTCATAAGTCTCGTTTCTTTTCTGATAAATGGAGATAATACCTGCCCCACACAGGGCTGTAGGGATTAAATTATGTGCATAAAATAGAATTAGTTTCTTGAATATAGTGAATGTTTCCTATTAGGTGAAATCATTTTAATTCATTTAACTTTATCTCTGCAGGATCAGACTGCACATTTGTCCAGCTTTGAGTAAAGCAAGGTGGATCTTAACACTGGTGTTGACTGACTTTGGCTAGGCCTCATTCTGTTTCAGCTGATTCCTTTATCCTCAGTAGAAAGTGCTGCTGTTGCTCCAGAGAAAAGAAAGGAATGCTAAATGCTAAAAAGATACATCACACCATGTTTAGTTTAATACAAGGTGAGGGCACCAAGGGAAGGAAATATGTTTTTGTCATCGTCATTGTATACCCAGCACCAGGCACAGGACCTGGCATGTTACAGACTCTCCATATCTAGTTTAAATGAGTGAATTGTGTTTAGATGAAAAACATGTTCTGGCTGTGGAGTGCATGACTACACTGGTGCATTTCGGGTAGCTAAGGTAGTTGCCTGTGCAGTGTTGGCAAAGGAAAATGATCTTGGTATTTTAGCAGTTGTCTTTGAAACTGTTATACCTGATTCATTATAGGCATATATCTTTTATAGCTAGTATATTTTAAAAGAAATTTAGACCAGCTAACTTGAGTTGAAATGATCACTTGTGCTCTAGTTAACCTAGAAGGTAAACAACTGAGAAAGACGTTAAGACAAGTAATAGAGTTAAGAGTTCACAGCTATTCTAAATTAGTTTTCTAGGCCTTAAGTCATTTTACCAAGAGGAAATAAAATTTCATGTGTAGGGATAGACCACTTGTCATGGATTGAATTGTGTCCCCCCAAAATATCCGTCAACTTGGCTGGGTCATGATTCCCAGTATTGTATGATTGTGTACCGTTTTGTAAATCTGATGTGATTTCCTTATGTTTTGTAAACTCTATCACCATGATGAGGTTATACTGATGAGGTTTACAGGATTAGATAGTGTCTTAATCCAATCTCTTTAGAGATATAAAAGAGAGAAGCGAGCAGAGACACATGGGAACCTCATATCACCAAGAAAGCAGTGCCGGGAGCAGAGCGTGTCCTTTGGACCTGAGGTTCCCGCACTGAGATGCTCCCAGACCAAAGGAAGATTGATGCGTCACAAGGACCTTCCTCCAGAGCTGACAGAGAGAGAAAGCCTTTTCCTGGAGCTGATGCCTCGAATTTGGACTTGTAGCCTACCGGACTGTAAAGAAATAAACTTCTCTTTGTTAAAGTCATCCACTTGTGGTATTTCTGTTGGAGCAGCACTAGATGACTAAGACACCACTCTTGCCATATCTTCATCTCCTGTGTTTTCTTTCTTTTGCTGCTTCAGTTTGGCAAAACACTAAACCCTAGAGCAGTCTTCATCATCTACCTTCTCCATTACTGGAGACATGGACTGCTGAGTGCTGCCTGGATTGCTGTAGCACTTTCTGACAGCTGTGCCTTTCTCAATCCTGCCTGCCTCCATTCCATTTATCTTCCCCTGTTACCACAATGGTCTTTCTGTAATGAATCTGATTGTGTTAGTTCCCTCCTTGAAATCCCTTAATGGCTTCTGGTTGTTTTCAGGACAAAAATCTAAATTCCTTCGAATGGAAAACAGAGCTTTTAGAGATCTGGTCCCTTCTTACCAGTCTCCTGCCTGATCTCTTATCTCTTTTCCATATATTCTCTGTACTCTAGACATATTAAAACATTTGCATTTCTCTGTTCCAAGTTCTTTTCCTGCCACTGAACGTATGTTTCTTCTTCCAGGCGTGCTTTTCTCTCATTCCCAAGGTCATCAACTACAGGTCATTTAAAGATCCCCAAAGTTACCTCCGGAAAACTATTACTGAGTTCTTTTTCCCGGTCTGGATTAGGTACCTTTCCTCCATGCTCCCATAATGCCCTGCAATGAATGTTCTAGTGGTACTAACAAAATATATTGCAGGAATCTACATGCCTCCTTCCTTTTTTATCTGTTTAATATCTAATGCCCAGAAGTTTGTGATTTAATTAATGTATGAAATAATAGAATTTATCAGAGGCCCAAAATATGCCCACCTAAGTCCTGGGTATTATGAACATGTGAGAAATGTAAGAACATGGCGCTATCTGTTCTTAAGTTTAGTTGTATGGACAGAGTGACATATAAAGCAATTAGATTTAAATAGCATGAAGTGAGGACCTAGTTAGAATGATTTGAGAATAAAGATACAATCGAAACTTTCAAAACCTTTGGCATTTTATGTCTGGCCTTTGCTCTTTTTCTTCCTAATACCACGTTTAACATGCTATATATTTTACTTATTTATCTTGTTATGTCTCTCTCCTCCACTAGAATGTAAGTTTTATGAGGGATTTTGTCTCTTTTGTTAAGGTATTTCCAGTGCCTGACGTATAGATGTTCAGTAGTTGTTTGCTGAATGGATCGAATGGGATTCAGAGAAGGAAGTGATCATTGGGAGATACTACTAATTAAAGCCTTTGTGGGGAAGTTACATCCTGAAATGGTTCTTAAAAGATAGTGTTTTATTAATAAGTGTTTATTAAATAAATTAAGTAAGAAATTACCAATTTTATTTTATATGAACTTTTTTCAGATCTTATGTTGTTCCTAATTTTCTCTTACTTTATAAGGTTTGCACAGCCCTCACTATTGACTCTCATAGAGAGTTTAACAACAAGGCCTATTAATCAGAGTAAGTGATGCTGGCCCTGTTTTTATATGCCAGTTGTAATAAACTCTTCCATTTTATATGTGTATTAGCAAGATAAAATAAGTTTAAAAGCATGGATCTGCTAGAGACAATTACAGGTTGTATACAGATCTTCCTTATGCTGTATGTTGTTACGGTACTTGAGAGCTTATCTTTTGCTCTGCATCCGTTCAAAATAACTACCAATAAATTTGAACTCATAAGCATATAGGGGTTCTGGTTGATTTGTGAATTAGAGATCATAATTGACCATTATGCCTCCAGATTCTTAGATTTTAGCAGGTCTTGATCAACATTCTAAAAATTTGTGTATATACATAATTTATAATTGCATTTTCCACTTTTATAGAATTTCTTTTTCTCTTCTGTTTTTCCTTTCCAGTACTAAAGAAATTAACATTATATTTTGAACTAAAACTATTAAAAATGTTAAATTGCCAAAATATATTTTGGACTATAACTAGAACGTGAAATAATAGAGGGCTGCTGTGGTTTTTAGGAAATAAAATTATTAATGGATCTGAATCACTGGCTTCTTTTCTTGCAGGTTTTTTTTCCTAAGCACAGAATTAGATATTCTTAGGCTCTTATAGGAGCCCTGGTGACGCAGTGGTTAAGAGCTATGGCTGCTAACCAAAAGGTTGGCAGTTCGAATCCACCAGCTGCTCCTTGGAAACCCTATGGGACAGTTCTACTCTGTCCTGTAGGATTGCTATGAGTCAGAATTGACTCGATGGCAACGGTTTGGTTTTTGTTTGTTTGTTGAGGCTCTTATAGCTGCAGTAGACCTTAGTAACCATCTGGTTTACTCACTTTATGTTAGAGATGAGGTGACTAAGACACAGGACAAGTGATTTGTCCACTGTCAAGCAGTTAATTCATAACAGAGCCAGAGCTATATAATAGATTTTTAACTGTTGTTGAAGAGATAATCAAACTGTGGTTAAGTCCTCTGTTATACTAACCACAGTAAACTTTTCTAGAAATACATGGGTTCTGATGGCATTTTAAAAGAAAATATTTTATTAGTCTCCTACTAAAAGTAAGTTCCTGGAATTTGTCAGTTTGCCAGTCAGCCAGATTATGGGTGTGAGTAAAGCTTTGGCAATACTTTTCCCGTTTGGTGTATAGGCTGTTTACTGGTTGGTTCAACAAGAGGTAATTTTCATTCGTCTGATTTTAAGCCACAAAAACTCACATTCTTTCTGAATTGTTAGTTTTTGACAACCTGAATGTGAGGATTCACACTTCCCTTTAGAACATTTTCCATAAAAAAAGGTTTAACCAATATATGTATGTTAAGGAAAACATGAGGAACAAGATTACAAAAAAAAATCAGTCATTTTCTTTTTTCTTGTTGAACCTAGGGAGTTATGTATTTAAAAAAAAAAGTCATATAGGTGTACTTCTGGATTCTCTGCAGTAGAAAAAATCAAAAGAAATGTTTCAAAGGGTCATGTGAATATTCTGCATTTCCTTTTCTTGTCTTCTTTGTGATATTTTCCTAGAACTTACATTTTAATTAAATTATCTAAAAATAGCACCTTGTATTCTGTGATTCTTATGCCCCCCCCCACCCGGGTGGGGGTCCTTTGTTTTTTAATGGAGAATATTTAGTAAATACAATGGGTTAAGTAAGAAGAAAATAGTTCAAGATGTGGAAGAATGTGGACAACTTGAGTTAGTACTGGTGTAACTCCTTAATTAAATTGGGTTATTTTTCATCAGTTGTGTTCATATATTATACTCTTGATGTAAAGAATACCCTGCTAGACATTTTAAAGCTTCTTAGTTTGATTTACTCTGAAGTTTAATTTTGTTGGTTTTCCTTTAAATTATATTCTGTAATTATAGCCTGTGTTTTGGTGTGGCAAGTTAGTAATTGCCCTTTATTCTATTTCAGATCCCTGCATGTCACTGAGTCCACCATGCTTTACAGAAGAAGATAGATTTAGTCTGGAAGCTCTTCAAACAATACATAAACAAATGGATGATGACAAAGATGGTGGAATTGAAGTTGATGAAAGTGATGAAGTAGGTAGAAGAACTTGTCCCCTGATATTTTCTTTAAGATTCTCAGAATGACTCAATTTTTAGTCTTAAAATTTTCCATTATTTCTCATATGACTCAACACCTTCATCTTCAGCATCTTTAGTTTTTCTCATTTTAATTTTATCCCCTCTATTTGCATCATTTTGTGTTTTTTTTTAATATGCATACAAGTCTCTCCCTAGTTTTACAAGACTCCTCAGTCTCCTGTTCTTGAATTTCTTCAAATACATATCCTGACTGTATCAGTTATCTATTGCTGCTTTATTAACCATCCCAAAATTTAGTGGCTTAAAACAGCAAAAATTTAATATTTATCCTATTCTGTGAGTTGACTGGATTAAGCTGGGCAGTTTTTCTGTTCTTCTTGGCATGGACTACTTCATTTGAGATCTCTGATGGGGCTAGAATATTTAAGATGGTCTCTTATCTGTCAAGATCTTTCTACACACATCCTCTCATCATTCAGGAGTCCAGCTCAAGCTTCGTTACAGCATGGTGACTAGCTTCCAAGTGGTAGTGTTCCAAGAAGACAAGTTCCAATGTGCAAGTGCTTATCATACCTCTGCTTGCCAATGCTTGCTAGTATCAAATTTGCCAAAGCAAATCACTTGGCCAAGCTCAGAGCCTATGTGGGAGAGAATTATACAAGGGCATGATACCAGGAAATGTGGTTCATTGGAGGCCACTAGTGTAATAATCCACTGTACCCACTGTCTTTATTTATTACTTACACATTCCCATCTTTCTCCTGGTCTGGTTTCCCCGTTATTTTTCTCCATTGAAGTTGTTTTCTTTATTTGGCGGTGGCCTTGCTTTAACCAAATCCTCTGGTCATTTTTTTCAGGCCTCTTCAAATTTAGTATATCAAAAACCAAATCCCAGCTCTACTCTTTTACATCCCTCACTATTCAATGGCATTTCTGGAACTACCTCTCATTTTTTATTCTAAATCAGGGTTGGCAGATTTTCTGAAAAGGGCCATATAGTAAATATTTTAGATTTTTTAGGCCCTGTGGTCTTTGTTGTAACTACTCAACTCTGCCATTGTAGTTCAAAGCATCCATAGACAATACATGAACTAATTAATGGTCTTGACTGTGTTCTAATAAAACTGTTCACAGAAATAGAGAGTGGGCCAGATTTGGCTCACAGGCTGTAGTTTGCTGACCCCTGTAAATCTGTATTCTTAAAGTTTATCCCTTTTTCTTCCCTTCTCACTATCTCTTCTCTGCTTTAGTTAGTTGCTTACTCTATTTTAATTTAGATATTTATTACTTTAGATTACTGCCTCTTAAGTTTTCCGTCTAATCCATCATATCACTTTGAAAGTTTTTCTCTAGCTAAGAAACTTAACAGTGATTTCTAATTGCTTGTTAGATCACATATTAACTCTTCAGTCTTATGTTTAACGTTTCTGCATTAATTGATTTCTGCTTACTGAGATAGTCTCTTTTCGTTGTGATTGAAATCATTTTGGTTAGAGGTCAGTGACAACAATACCAACATCATGGCTTTTAGTTCTAAATAGTCCAGTTTATTTCATTCATTTCTAGAACCACAGACTATGCGATAATCTTATCTTGCAATTAAAAAAAAAATTTAAAGTATGTAAATATATTCTGTTGGTCATAAGGAAGAGTAGACGAAATGAAATCAATTCAAGAGTTTTACTGTTACTAGAAATCAGTGTAAACTAATTGTTATTTATTGTGGGCCATTTTATTACACTGAGTAGATAATTCATTCTGTAAACATCATTCTCATTCTCTTTCTCTCTTGATACACACACGCACACACACGTAACATCAAGATGTAAGATTACTTTTTAGTGAAAATAATCTAGATTATTAGAGACAAATTATTCTTTCTAATACTCCACAAAAGTTTTAAGTGGTTATGAGTGGCCATCTAAGATGCTCCACTGGTCCCACCCCATCAGGAGCAAGGGAGAATGAAGAAAATCAAAGACACAAGGGAAAGATTAGTCCAAAGGACTAATGGACCACAGCTACCACAGCCTCCGCCACACTGAGTCTAGCACAACTAGGTGGTGCCTGGCTACCACCACCGACTGCTCTGACAGGGATCACAATAGAGGGTCCTGGACAGAGGTAGAGAAAAATGTAGAACAAAATTCTATCTCACAAAAAAAGACCAGACTTACTGGTCTGACAGAGACTGGAGAAACCCCGAGAGTATGGCCCTCGGACACCCTTATAGCGCAGTCCTGAAGTCACTCTTGAGGTTCACCCTTCAGCCAAAGATTAGACAGGCCCATAAAATAAAATGAGACTAAATGGACACACCAGCCCAGGGGCAAAGACAAGAAGGCAGAAAGGGACAGGAAAGCTGGTAATGGGGAACCCAAGGTCGAGAAGGGGAGAGTGTTGACTTGTCATTGGGATTGGCAACCAGTGTCACAAAACAATATGTGTATTATTTAATGAGAAACGAATTTACTCTGTAAATCTTCATCTAAAGTACAATAAAAGTTTTTTAAGTGGTCTGTTTAGGTTGTCAGTATAGATATTTAAGAATTTGAATATTAGATGAATTATGGCATAAACAATTTGTTAGCATATTTGATACTGTTTGTAGAGGTAAATTATTCTGTAGCCTGAATAGATTTTCTAAAATTATTGTGCATTTTCTTTGTCATTTACAGTATGACAGTATTAGTTCTTTTCAAGCAATTTCCATATTAACTCTCAGGGTGTATAGTATTTAGTAGATGAATGCCCTGTGCAGTTTCATAATTATTTCCAGCAGTTAAGTTGGAGACAGCTTTTAACCCTAAACCTTGTAGTTGTGGTTGTCATTAGGTGCCGTTGAGTTGGTTTTGACTCATAGTGACCCTACATTCCACAGAATGAAACACTGCCTGGTCTTGTGCCATCCTCACAATCGTTGCTGTGTTTGAGCCCATTGTTGCAGCCACTGCATCAATCCATCTCATTGAGAGTTTTCGTCTTTTTCAGTGACTCTCTACTTTACCAAGCATGATGTCCGTCTCCAGGGACTGGTCCCTCCTGACAATATGTCCAGAGTACGTGAGACAAATCTTGCCATCCTTGTTTCTAAGGAGAATTCTGGCTGTACTTCTTCCAAGACAGATTTGTTTGTTCTTCTGACAGTCCATGGTATATTCAGTATTCTTTGCCAACACTGTAGTTCAGATGCATCAGTTCTTCTTTGGTCTTCCTTATTCATTGTCCAGCTTTCGCATGCATATGAGACGATTGAAAATACCATGACTTGAGTCAGGCACACCTTAGTCCTCAAAGTGATATCTTTGCATTTTAACACTTTAAAGAGATCTTTTGCAGCAGATGTGCCCAACACAATACATCATCTGATTTCTTGACTGCTGCTTTCATGGGTGTTGTTTGTGAATCCAAGAAAAATTAAAATCCTTGACAACTTCAATCTTTTTTCTGTTTATCATTATGTTGCTTATTGGTCCAGTTGTGAGGATTTTTGTTTTCTTTATGTTGAGGTATAATCCATACTGAAGGCTGTAGTCTTGGCTCTTCATCAGTAAGTGCTTCAAGTACTGTGTTGAAATGAGTAACAGTAAATCTCATTTTGAACTAATTACATTGATGGTGCCGTTTTCCTTTAATTTTGATATTAGTTGCTAGGACCTAATCGTTGCCTAGCATTGTTTTAGGTTAAGAAGCATAACACAGGTAGTCCCTGAATTACGAACAAGTTCTGTTCCTAAGTGTGCTTTTAAGTCAAAATTGTATGTACGTCAGAACAGTTAGGTATGGTTTGTATCTAACGTCAGTTAGTCAAATATTTTTCGTAGTATGTAGTGTACCTTTCTATGCATAAAAAAACATGTAAAGAAACACTTCCAGATACACTAGAACATTTTAACATAATAATGCAGTAATAATAATGATAATAATAATCTTTTCATGCGTATCTGAAAGTAGTGCCCATGTGTTATCATGAACGATTGTTTATGTACCTCAGATTTTTAACGTAATAGACTTTATGGGGGGTTGGTTCGTAACTGTGGGTTGTATGTAAGTTGAACATTCATAACCTGGGGACTGCCTGTAATTACTCATTTTTGGCAGGGAGAGAGGTGAGATTGAGGGAACATACATGGTTGAGTTTCAGAGTTTTAGTATTTTGAAATGTTTGGAAACATTAGACTACAGTTCTACTTTTTAAAGCTGGTGTAGTTTTAGGGTTACAAATTAACTTATTGAGGTTGGTTAATATTGGGCCTAGACTAAGGGCTAGATTCTTTATTTTATAATTTATATAATAAAAATTGTTTATATTATTAGTTGTCAACAGGTACTTGAGTAGGTGCTATTATTATAAATATCTCTCGAATTTTAAATATTGCAAAAATATTTAAATTGAAGAAAAATAGAAATTTGCATTTTACTTAACAATCAAAAATACTGGCAAAGGAAAGATCATTTAAAATAGTTTATGTAATATATGGACAGAAAGGGTATTAAGTGAGCTTATGCAGATAGTTGACAGCCTATTTGAGTGTATTTGATTGCATAATAGGTCTTAGAATTACAAGTTATTTTAATCTCTTTTACCTTATCATCAAATAGTAAATGATCACATATGTAAATGATCACAAGTGCTATCACTATCAGTGAACCAAACGTATTAGGCATACATAGCTATATAATTCATATTTTAATAGAAGACTTGTTGAAACGTTAAATTTCAGTGGAATTCTAAGCCTTTTGTAATAAAAGTTAGAACTAAAAGCTTATGTGTAAGAAGTAGAGCTTAGAAAGATATCAGTGATAACTGAACTTTAACATTTAAAAGCGGAAGACAATATCTTTCACTCTACATTTCTTCTAATATTAATGTTTAAAAGCAAATACAGCATGCCATTTTTTTTCCATAATATTTTATTGTATTTTTGGTGAAAGTGTGCATAGCCAGCCACTCTGAGAGAGAAAGATGTGGCAGTCTGCTTCCATAAAGATTA